CCCCCCCCCCCTCGTAGAAGTGGTAAAGTCCCCCTCCGCTTCGCTTTAGTAGAAAAAACAAAAACAAAAAAACAACTTAAAACTGGAGAAAACAATGCAACACCTGATTTGACTTTTCCTCTTTTGACTATTATTATTATTAGATATTCGAGCCTGAATCCCCAGATACATCCCCCCCCCCCCCCCTTTTTGGGGCCCCTTCCCTTGGGGGGGGGGCCCTTTTCCCCCCCCCCCCCTTTTTTTTTTGGGCTCCCCCCGGGGGGGGGGCAGCAGCAGGGTGTGCAGGTTGCTGTCCCGCGGCAGCGTGAAGCTGCGGGGTTTCCCCCCCGCCGTCGCCGTGGGAACCAGCCTCTGCATCGCCGGGGGCAACGGGGCGCTGCGCTGCGGGGGGAGCGTGTAGACGGCCCCCGCCGCCATGGGCCCGCCGCCCAGGCCCGGCTCCGCAAAAACAGCGTCCTCTGGGGGGGGTTAGAAAATATTAACAATTAATAAACAATTAATAAACAATAAATAAACAATAAATAAACAATAAAACCTCATCGGAGGATTTAAAGACATCTAAGTTGGGGTTTTTTTTTCTGGCTAAAAGTGCCTAAAATAACCCAGAAACTGTCTGTAATTATTATCAAATTAATGGCATTTATTTATACTTCTGCACACTATCATTATCCCTTATTTTAGATCTGTGTATATACATATAGACGGCGTCCTCTGGGGGGGGGGTTTAGAAAATATTAACAATAAATAAACAATAAAACCTCATCTGAGGACTTAAAAAAGTCTGAAAGGGGAAATCTTTTTATTTTTTATTTATTTATTTATTTTAATCATGTTTTTATTCACGTGACGAGGTCAAGTAAAAACAACGGAAAAATAAGGATTTTTTTTTCTTTTTACAAAAACAACCACTCATTCCCTCCCTTCCCCAGCCCTCCCCAATCCTACAAGATTATGCTACAGATCAGTAATAACCCACATCCTTCCTTCTTATTGCACACAAACGTGTGAATAAAAAAGTATATAGACAATTAAAAAAGAGAGAGTAGTAAGAATAACATAAATAAATAAATTGAAAACACCACAAAATAAAACTGAGAAGTAAAATTTTCAATGGGTTGAGATGAAGTAAGGAGGAAAAGAAAATGTGATCAAAAGTCAGTTGTCATGAAAGGGGAAATCTAAGTTGGCTTCGACTCACTAGGGAAAATAAACTCATTCTCCTTTTTTTTCCTGCTTAAAAGTGCCTAAAATAACCCAGAAACTGTCTGTAATTCTTACTAAAATATTAGAATATCGGATTTTTGAGTTTTCTTCAGCTGTAAGCCATAATCAGCGATATTAAAACAATAAAAGGCTTGCGATATTTCAGTTGATTTTTAATGAATCCAGACTGTATGACATTTCATGTTTTTTAATTGCATGACAGAAAATAAAGAACTTTGTCACAATATTCTAATTTTCTGAGACAGTCCTGTATTTTTTGTGCATGATGACCTTTGACGAAATCGGGCATTTCTATTGGTCGAGCTTCCAAAAAAACTCCCGTATTTGAGTAAAAACCGTCTCACCGAGCGGTCCGGTCTGCAGGAAGTGCAGGCCGGCCTCGGTCAGCGGCGTCTCGATCAGGTCCTGCCACGAGCGTCTCTGGGAGGAGGAGGAGCGGCCCGGGGACCCCGTCTCACTGCTGCCCCCCGCAGGACTGGACCGGTACTGCACCAAGAAAAGTAAAAACAATGGTTGAAGCTTTTTTTTTTCTTAATCTTGAAGCAGTTTTCAGCTTCAAGGCAAAAAGGCAGCTCCCCATTTATCTACTAAACAACCCGAAAGGTTGTTTGATATTGTGTAAAGAGCCCTCCATTATTTATCAAATCTATATGTGAGTATTTTTCTTTTTTTTAAGGCAGCACACATTAACCCTATAATACCAAATGTGTCATATCTGATACGGTTTCTGAAGTCTTTTGAATCTGACACTTTTTGCATCATTCAATAGTAAAAGCTTTGCTAAAAACCCTGTTGAACACATTCAGATATACCTGATAACAGCCAGTAGAAGACTACACCAAAATACATTTTTGACTTATTGCACACTATTTTGATCAAAATAATTTCTGTTTTTTTTCTTCATATTTTTTTGAGGGGCCAAAGAAAGACTTCAGACCAAAAAAATCAAATAATCTTCCTATTTTTCTAGGATGGATCTCAGGGCTCTTTGCCCACTGAGACCCAGAGAGTGTTTTTTGTCCAATAAATGTTATTTTTTATACTTTTGATCCACTCTGGTTTAATCTCAGGTTTCCAACTAAAGAATCAGGCTAACAAAAGGAAACGGAAAATAGCCCTCTCTGTGAGGAGTCTCCAGGAGCAGCTCTCTGGGCTTCTTAAGGACGTCCCAAAGCTCTTCTCTGGATGTTTTTCCACCTTTGGCTCCATTTTCTTTTGCGTATTTTTCTGTATTAAAACTGTAAAACGCTTTACGCTACAAACAAGTCTTGGTTTT